CCACTAGGGGTTGGTCTCCAGCCCCACTGTCATCCATCCTATGGGGCCACAAACCTGTCCCACACACTGCAAAGGAGGGACTGGGTCCTCCTGAACTGGTCCCTTTCTTGCACCCCTCCTGGACCCATAAGTGGACAGGAAGATTAAATGTACACGAATGCAGGTGTGGATACCTGCACACATGCATGCATCCCCACTGCAGGAGCTCCAGCTCCTCCTGCCATCCCATACCAGACTGGGGACATGAGCAGGTGGATGTGACCAAGTACATGGAGAAACAAAACCATTCTGGGAGAAGATGGACCCCCTTGGCTGGGGTCCCCATCAAGCCCCATCCCAGTCTCCTCCACTGCCTCATGGGAGATATTCTAGAACTCCCTCATCCCACCCTTCCAAGTCTTTGCTCAGATGTGCCTTACCAGGCTGCAGCTCTACCACCTTGGGGTGACCCCTGCTCTGAACTCGCAGCATCTCCTAATTCATATTTACTGTGCATTTTCTGTCACTCAGGTTCCCTACCTTTTAGAAAGTTCTAGGATGGCTCACACCTATAATCCTAGCTACTCAGGAGGCTGAGATCTGAGGATTGTGGTTCAAAGCCAGCCCAGGCAGGAAAAGTCCATGAGACTCTTATCTTCAATAAACCATTCAGAAAACCGGAAGTGGCGCTGTGGCTCAAGTGGTAGAGCGCTCGCCTTGGGCTGAAGAGCTCAGGGACAATGCTCAGGCCCAGAGTTCAAGTCCCACAACCACCACCAACAACAAAAAAGTAAGTCCTACAGATACTTGTTAAGTCAATGACTGAACGGTCTGGATAGCACAGGGATTAACTAGGCAAGATCTCCAATACTGACCCCAAGGAATGCTTAGATAGGATCCATAGGCCCTCCAGATCTTCCCTACCCTGTGGTCAAGTCCTGGGTCAAAGCCAGGGCCCTGTGGCCTTCAAGTGGGACATCCTGCTAGGGATATCCTTGTGGGCCCTGCCTTGCACAGGACCTAAACTGGTCCTCCAGGACCCCCAGATCCTGGGCAAGAAGAATCCTTGATTATTAAATATTCATGCTATTTACAAGTCAAACAGATCCGGGCCCAGGTGTCACTTTCATCAAACCCTGGGAACACTGAGTCAGGTGCCTAGAGAGAAGGCTCAGGTCTCTGCTGAATTCCTGAAGGGTAGAGTCAGGTACCTCGAAGCTCCCTCGTCCCCACGCCCAGAGGAGCCTCTCCTAGCTCAAGAATTCATTATGGTTCCTGGGAAGGGAAAGGAGTGAAGTGACTCTTGAAAGGACCAGTTTCCTCTGGGGTAGGGCAGGGAGAGAAGGTGACGTCAGAGATGTCAGGGTATGGCCATGAGGTACAGACAGGGAGGGTCTTCCTGGGATCTCGAGGGAGTCAGAGCTAGGGATGGTCAACAGGGTCAGAGGCCCTACTGGGGAACATCTATCTGTTTTTCCCTTTAAACTTGGCCTGGGGAAGAGGAAAACCAAGTTGCAAGAAGAGCCTGCATGCTTTGGTCCAGGGGAAGCAGGATAGTGGTGGTATGGGTGAGTGAGATACACAGGCTTCTGAGAAAGGAGTACTCAGGATGCTTGGGCGGTCCAGGCAGTCAACCTGGAAAGGCATCAGCTTCACTGGGCTCTACCCTGGCTGCCAACTCAGGTGTCTCAGTAACTGTTCCTCATTGTCCCCCTGCCCCTGGGGGCTCTTTTCCAATACACTCTGGGTCTTCCACAGGATAACCGAGGCTCACAGACTGATGGCAGAGGCTCCAAACTTTCCAGTTCCATGCACCATTTTCTCTCCCAGAGAGAGGAATGGGGCAGGAAGCCCTAGCAGGGGAAGACAGACAATACCCGCCCCAAAGTGAGGTTGAAAGGGAGCATTATGAAATTCCCAGACTAGGAATGTGTTCCCAGTCCCATGTAGAAAGTGGGAAGGGTGAGCTCTCCGGCATGAGCAGATTAGATTCTACACTTGGGAGAGTCCCGCCCCTACTGGGGTCTGCTCACTAGTCCTGATCCATGGCTGGCCCAAGGAGCATGGAAAGTATCAGGGGCCAGGGAAACAGGATGTCAGGTCAGAAAAGGCCACTGCTCTTGACTCGGCAGGAGTGTTCTCATCCAAAAAGTTCTGACCTCCAGGGATGTTTAAAAAAAAAAAATCACAAAATCATGACCTATTGGGGAGCCAACTCCCTCAGTGGTTAGGTAATTCCCAAGGGCCCAGATATCGATCAAAAGGCCTGCAAGTGACCGGCAATTTTTTTAAACCCTTCCTGTGGGAAGCTAACAAGTTGTCCATCCTTGGGTGCCTGCCTTGTGCCAGGTCAAAGTAGGAACAATGTTTTTACCTCCTCAGCAACATCTGGGAAAATAAGGCTTTGGTGTAGTTAAGTGATGGATCTAAGGTGATAAAAAATGTACTCAGAGTCACCTGATGTCTGAGAAGATAAAATGATGTTGTTTGAGGAAAAGACTTACCAGGAAAGAAGGGACTATTTTTCTGCCTTCCTTTCCTCTTTCTAAAATAATTCATTCTTCACTCCAAGAATTCTTTTTTTTTTTCCATGAACAGAGGTCACCTAAGATAATGGACCTTTTCTTCCTTTAAAAGTTGTTGTCTAACCAGGTGGCTCATGTCTGTAATCCTAGCTACTGAGGAGGCTGAGATCTGAGGATCACGGTTCAAAGTCAGCCCGGGGAAGAAAAGTCCATGAGATTCTTATCTCCAATTAACCACTAGAAAACCAGGAGTGGTACTGTGGCTCAAGCGGTAGAGCACTTGCCTTGAACTGAAGAGTGCATGGATAGCGCCCAAGCCCAGAGTTCAAGCCCCATGACCGACTCACACACAAACAAAAAAAGTTGCTACAAAGGAGGAGGCAACAATGCTTGATAAGAAATGTACTTGTTATCTTGCCCATGTAATTGTAACCCCTCTGTATGGTATTTTCACACACACACACACACAAAGTTGCTGTCTAGCTGGGTGCCAGTGGAACACACCTGTCTGTAATAGTTACTCAGGAGGCTGAGATCTAAGGATTGTGGTTCAAAGCTAGCCCAGGCAGAAAAGTCTGTGAGCCCCTTATCTCTAATTAACCACCAAAGCAGCCAGAAATGGAGCTGTGGCTCGAGGAGTAGTATAGCCATGAGTGAAAAAGCTAAGAGATAGCTTCCAGGCCTTGAGTTCAAGCCCTAGTACTGGAACAAAAAAAAAAAAAAAAGCTATTGTCTATTAAAACCTTATTAAGTGTAGCCAGTCACCAGCAGTTCTTCATGCCTGTAATCCTGGCTGCCCAGATCTAGCCAACCTGGCTAGACAAATCCATGAGACTCTTATCTCCAATTAACTGACAAAAAGCCAGAAGTGGAACTGTGGCTCAAGTGGTAGAACATTGAGTATAAAAGCTCAGAGAGGGCTGGGAAGGTGGCTCAGTGGTAGAGCACTTGCCTTGCATGCATGAGGCCCTGGGTTCGATTCCTCAGCACCACATAAGCAGAAAAAAAAGCCGGAAGTGGCACTGTGGTAGAGCGCTAACCTTGAGCTGAAGAGCTGAGGGGCAGCACCCAGGCCCAGAGTTCAGGCCCCATGACCGGACCCAAAAAACAACAACAACAACAAAAAAAAAACAGCTCAGAGACAGTGCCCAGGCCCTGAATTCAAGTCCCAGGACTGGCATGAAAAACAAATTTAAAAAAACTTACCAAGTTATTTTAATATATAAAAGTATACTAATCTGCCACCAGAGAGGACACTGCATTGCCTCAAGGAAAAGTAGGGACACTTAGCTGAGCACCCTAGACCCTGGGAAACTGTTCTCAAGGGACCCCCACAGGGGCTGGTCCAAGCTAACTTCAGACATTAGAAAAGAGCTCTGGTCAGAGCCCCAAGAGCTGGGTTTGGGTCCTGACTGCCACAGGCAAGATCTGTGGACAGATGACTTAAGAAAACTAACTCCAAATTTTCTGTCCACAAACTAAAGAGGTCAACCGATCCCAGGACCCTGCTCAAGCCTCCCAGTGACACCCAGTTCACCCAACAAATTTCCTCAAAGGTCACTTCGGAAGTTCCCCTGCTGAACTGAAACAGCAGCCATCCAGAATGCCCTTTGCAGGGATCCTGGGCTACAGGGCCCCTGATGCTCAGGTTAAGGGAGCACCGACACAGGGCTCCCGCGGGAAGGGGCGCTGACTCCAGGCCCCGACCTGTCTCAGGTGAGGGCCTTTTCCAAGCACACCTGGGCTATGGCAGATGTCGGTCAGTTCTCCCCAGAGCCAAGGCCCAATGTCCAACCAAAGCCAACCAAGACATACTTTTGTTTAGTAAGAATTTTCCACTCCTTGCCAAGTCCCCAGGCGCAACCCCCACCCGCCAGCGCGTGGAAAACGGAGTAGGATCTCACTACCGTCACCGAAAGATGCCCAAGGGTGCCAAGGCCCCGGGGACCGAGGTCCCTCCCGCCAGCTTCCTGCGTCGGAGGATTAGGAGGCACAAAGGGCCGCAGGGGCCGGGCCCAGATGGCCGAGGCAGGGGCTAAGCCGCTAAGGTAACGAGCGCGCTCCGGCCGCCGCTCCCGGAGGCCGGGTCACCGGCGCCCCGCACCGCCGGCCGCGGGGCCCCTGGCCTTGCACGTGGACCTCGGGACTCGGTCTCGGCCGCGGTACCCCGGTACCCCGCCTGCAGGACACCTGTTCCCTCTAACACCCCCCGCCCCCCGCCGCTCCCGTCAGCTAACACTGGTGCAAACCAATCCCCAAGTTTGGTCACCGGGGGCGGATCAGGCGCGAGTTCCGGGCGGCACTTTCCACAGGTGTCTTCCTCCCGGAGGAGCCGAACGTCGGAGACTGGACGGGGCGGGCGGACCCCGGGCACAGCCCTGCCCTCCCGCCCGGGAAGCCCGGGGGAGGGGGTCTCGGCCCCTCCCGCGCCTCCTCGCGCCAAGGGCGCGCCCCCAAGACGCAGGTCGGGTTAGGTGGGCTCCCACGGCGTCTCACCTGGAACCCCGAGCCGGACCCTGCCCGAGGCCTCGGCGTCCCTCGGCGCCCGCCGCCGGCTCCTCTCGCTCCGCCGCGCCGGCCCACGGGCTGCTGGGCGGGCAGCCTCCTTCCTGCTCACCTCCGGCGGGGCGGCGAGCCGGGGGCGGAGCCGCCTCTATTTACATAAAGGGCGAGCCGAGGGGCGCGCGGGCCCCGCCCCCGGCCGCCGATGGGGGCGGGGGCGCGGCCAGGGCGCCCTCCGGCCAATCCGCAACCCCGAGAGCGCGGGGCGGAGCCCGCGGCCCGCCGGGGGACGCCGGCCCCTGAGGCCCGCCCCGGCCTCACCTGCGCGCACCTGACGCAGGGCCGCGCGCCACGCCCCGTGTCCCGCCGCCGGCACGAGGAAGTAGTTCTCGGCTTGTGAGGCGGCTGTGGCCCGCCGACTTCCAGGCGGGACTTCTGGCGGGATCCCGCCACTAGCCCCGAGCCCGCTCTAGCGGGGTTGCAGCCGGACCGGCCCCTCCTGAGCGTCCACCTGGAGGCCGCAGGGGCCCCGTGTAGAGTGGTGTGCGGAGAGGCGCCTTCGCTCCGGGCTGGCCCCCCCCCCCCGCCAAGTCCCGCCGCAGAGGCTGGCTGGGGCCGAGGCCCCGAGGGACGGCGCAGCGGCCAGTTCTCAGCTCCGGGGAGGGAGGGGTTGGAGAGAGGCGGGAGCGGAAGCCAGGGGCAGGCGGGAGCTGGGCGCTGCACCGCACAGCTGCTGCAAGTCCGGCCACCCTTCCGCCCCCACCCAGCTGCGCTGCTGGGACTACAGGGCACTGATAAGGCATGGCTTCTCTCCTCCAAGTACCCTTCAGAGGCCCACGGTCCACGACTTCCCACCCTCCCAGAGGCTAAACCCTCAGGAAAGGTTCAAGGTTCTCTTGAGTGTGCAAAGCAGGGGTGAGGGGATGGGGGTGGGGTGGGGTAGTAAAATATATCCAGCCCCATCAGGAAAAACAACAACAAAAAAAGAAAAAGATCTATTTTTAATGGCTTTGGCTTTATGGCACGAAGCAGGCATCCTCATTAAAAGGCACAGAGTCCTCTTCTACCCCATCTCCTGGGCCTCTGGAGTCCGAGTTCCAAGGGGGTCACTCTCAGGCCTGAGGCTTGGAAGCACAGGCTCAGCAGCAGCAGCAGCAGCAGCAGCAGGCCAGGCAAGAGGGAGGGAGCACAGTGCAGGGTTGGACTCTCCTGCAAGCATTAGGCACCTAGGACCAAGGCCCATACAGGCTACTAATGCTCCAGGTCAGAGTCTGATATGGGAGGCAGTTGCCAAGGTCCCTGAGAACAGACAGTCCAAGTTCTCCAGAGCTGTGTGGTCAGTGCTCCAGATCTCTGGGCAGTGTGAAGTCCCTGAAGCTGTAGAAGGAGATGTCACCATGATCCACCAGCGCGAAGATCAGAGGAACATCCCCACTCTGATAGGACAACCGCTTGAGGCTGCATAGGTCTGGAACAGGTTCATCAAATCTGCAGAAGAGTTAGACTTGAGCCAGGCACCGGTGGCTCACACCTGTAATCCTAGCTACTCAGGAGGCTGAGATCTGAGGATCACAGTTCAAAGCCAGCCTGGGCAGGAATGTCTGTAAGACTTTTATCTCCAATAAACCACCAGAAAACTGGAAGTGGCGTTGTGGCTCAAGTGAGAGCTCTACCACTTGAGCCTAAGGCCTAAGGGAAAATGCCCAGGCCCAGAGTTCAAGCCCCACGACCAATAAAGAAAAAGTTAGCTTTGATACCTTAGATTTGATACCATCTATAGTCCTTCTATATGCCCTAAGATCCCAACTCCCTTGAAGCTCCCAGGGAAGACAGATTAGGATAGAGGAATTCTGGCCACTGGTCTCTCTCAAGCACATGGCTCTAAAAAGCTCTCCAAGAGAGCTCCAGAATCCTGGCAAGATAGGCAGGAAGCAAGGAAGAGCTGGGTTCCCATCACTGTTAGCCTCTAAACCCCTCTCTGGACCTTAGGTTTGTCTTAGGGATTGACAGAGTGGCCACTGGAGTGCAAAGAAGGTCCACATGGCTCCCGGAAAAGCATCTCTTACCCACTGACGCACATCCGGACATAGGGTTTGCCAGGGTTATTCTTCCTGAACGTAGCCACAGCATCAGCCTGGTAAACATCAAAGCTGATCTCCAAGCCTCCAGACTTCTCCAGCAGTCTGAGGACAGAGTAAGATTAGCACAAGAACTTTCCTCTCCCACCCTTTCCCATCACCAGCTCCAGAAACCAGCCTGGCCAGGAGAATCTGAGATTATGAGGGGATACTAAATCCTTGGGATAATCCTTTGTCATTCCTCCTTTCTCCTAGACATCCATGAACAGTAGTTGTTGCTAGGAGCTAAGTATGCAGATAGAGGTCCCCGGAGTAATCTAGCTCACACGGAAGTCCAAGGGCCAAGTCCCAGCAGTCACTCCAGCTGTTGGCCACAGCCTCATGGAGAAGGGCTTAGGAACTTACTGGGCACCTCCATCAGCAAGGTGTGTGGTCTGTAGTACAGAGATCTGCTGAAGGACTGTGGCTATAAGGACAGTGAAAACAAAGTGTCAGAAAGGAATAGTTGTTCTATATACTCCTTTGACAATGCCAAGTCTGAGGTTTAGGGTTTCCAGATTCACCACAATTATTTTAGTATGTCCGGTGCGATAATTTGGAACATACTTATACTAAAACATAACTGGTTTTAGCTAAAATTCAAATCTAAACTAGTTGCCATAGACTGTGATCCCATGGCTATTTTAAGTAGTTCAGAATCTGTCACTCCCTGGTTGGATGTGCATAAAAGAGCAGACAGTGAGCCTCCTCTTAGTTGGACAAGATGGTACCTCTACCAGGCAGTTGTGAAAGAAGGGACCACAGCTAATCGGTGGCAAAGCCATGCTCATTATCTTGGTTAGGGTTTTATGGATGCAAGCAGTTTTTGCCCTCTCCATTCTTCCCAGACATAGACTCACCCTGGCTAAACCTCCCATCATGAGGTCGGCTGCAGACCCCGGCCACCCAGAGAACTGACTGCCTTGTGGGTTCCACTCCAGCAGACATGCTCCTCCCGTATCTTGGGCCTCAACTCACCCTTGTCAATCCACATCCTTTTTTTTTTGGGGGGGGGGTGTCTAGTCATGGGCCTGAACTCTGGGCCTGGGCGCTGTCCCTCAGCTCTTCAGCTCAAGGCTAGCGCTCTACCACTTGAGTCACAGCGCCACTTCCGGCTTTTTTTTTCTTTTTGCTTATGTGGTGCTGAGGAATTGAACCCAGGGCCTCAGGCATGCAAGGCAAGCACTCTGCCAACTTCCCAGTCCAATCCACATCCTTTTTAGTCTTGTGATTGATCACACAGCTGCCAGTGACCTGCAGGGAAGGGGTACCTGGAGAGTGTGCCTGGCTGGGGCTCAGCAAGGGGGTGACAGGCTGGCCCCACAGGTGTGGGGGGCAGTGCTGGCTCTTTTGCAGTTGCCGTCTCTGCAGCAGCTCCTTGTACTCCCGCCAGCTGGAGCAGCGCTGCACCTCTGGATCTGCGTTTAAGTCTTCCCGGAATCGCCGGGCCTCTGTTTGTTGTTCCTGCTCACGTCGGGAGAGCTTCTCCTTCCGCTGGTTCAACTTCTGGCACCAGGACTCGGCATCGGTCTCCCGCCCAGTGACGTTGGCCGGGAGTAGCTCTGGGGCTGGGGCAGATAAAAGGGTGTGACGGCTATCGGAAGCCATGTTGGGGAAGGAAATCTGCTCAAAGTTCCAGCGTGGCTTATAAGCCCCCTTGACTCCATTTTTTATTTTGTCCCTTTCCTGGCCACACCCCATGGCCTCCCTGGCCAGACCAAGGCAGGGCTCCAGGGACCCCAGAGACTGAAAGGGACTCCCTGGGCTCTTTCTAGAGGTTGACTCCTGGGGTTTCTCCTCTGGGCATTGGTGGTTCTGGTCACAGGCAGGTGGACTGGCAGCTGCCAGGCTTGCAGCTGGCACAGAGTTCTCCAGGGCCTTGGCTTTCTTATTAATGGACCTAAGGGATGAGGAAGAAAAGCAACACATTGCTCCTCATCGCTGAGGCCCACTGGAGCTGGGAAAGGTGCCCTGCTGTTTCCCTGAGCCTATGTTCATGTTGCTCAAACCCGCACCTTAAGCTCATTCACTCCCAGGGGAGTGACGCCACCATGGGGGACATTACCAAGAGTTATCGTTCTTCTTCCTCTTGCCAGCCTTGTCCTTCAGGCGCTGGGTGTAGCCATCCAAGTTAAGCTGCCTCTCGTAAGGGGACAGGACAGAGCTGTAAGGTGAGAACAAGGCAGGCAACAGATCCAAGGCTCAGACGGGTGCTCTTGTTAGGGACTGGCCAGAAGGATAAGTCAAGGACCAGGGTCAGAGCCACAGCAAGACTACAATCACACCTCACCAAAGGCTCATGGGGCAGCCAGTGGGGTCTGGTCATGAGCCTTTGTCCAGGCTTCTGAGTGCCATTGAGGCTCCTAAAGAGCCAGCACCAGCCAGGTGCTGGTGGATCATGCTTGTAATCCTAGCAATTCAGGAGGCTGAGATCTGAGGATCGCAACTCAAAGCCAGCCAGAGCACCAAAGTCCATGAGATTCTTATCTCCACTAAACCTACCAGAAAACCAGAAGTGGTGGTGTGGCTCAAGTGGTATAGCATGTGCCTTGAGCTGAAAAGCTAAGGGACAGTGCCCAAGCCCCACAAGCAACCAAAAAAAAAAGCTGGCACTCTACTGTTTGAGCTACAGGTCCACTTCCAACTTTCTGAAGGTTAATTGGAGAGAGAAAAGTCTCACAGACTTTCCTGCCTGAGGTGGTTTTAAACCATGATCCTCAAATCTCAGCCTCCTGAGTAGCTAGAATTATAGGTGTGAGCCACCATGGCACTAAATATTACACTGTTCAATATATTAGCCTCTAGTGTTTCTTTAAGTTGAATTAAAATTACATGCAATGAAAAATTCAGTCTAGTTGTTACACAAGACACATGTATTGGGTAGCATAGACAGAGGACCCTTCCATCATTATATAAAGTTCTATCATGACAACATGTATGACAGCACTACATTATGAGATAAACTCTTGACTTTTGTTGTTGTTGTTGAGATGGTCTCCTTTTGTAGCTCAGGCTAGCCTTGAACTCATGATCCTCCTGTCTCAATCTCTCAGTGTTGACATTATGGTAACACACTCACACACCTAGCTGATAAACTCTGATTTGTGTGAGCATGGCTCCACTGCTGAGGTGTTGGGCTGCTTTGTAAAATGTTAGTGTCTGTGCGTGCTCTTCCTAAATGCAAGCTGTGTGGGGGCAGCAATGAGATGTGGGGCCTGGCACCAGCAAGTGGTCAGAAATATTTCAGAATGAATGAATGAATAATCCCCTTGGGACCTCTGTATTATTCCCCTGGGGCAGATTCCATGCATTCCATTTATTCCAAGAAATGAAGGGTGTGTGTGTGCGTGCGTGCGTGCGTGCGTGCGTGCGCGAGAGCGCGAGGACCTCTTGCTCTCCCTTGACTTTTTCACTCAAGGCAGTTGTTCTACTACTTGAGCCACAGCTCTACTTCTGGCTTTTTACTAGTTAACTAGAGTTAAGAAGCTGGTGCAGGGCACAGAATCTGGGTGCTGGTGGCTCATGCCTATAATACTAGCTGCTCAGGAGGCTGAGATCTGAGGATTGCAGTTCAAAGCCAGCCCAGGCAGGAAAGTCCCCATGAGACCCTTATCTCCAATTAACCACCAGAAAACCAGAAGTGGTGCTGTGGCTCCAGGGCTAGAGTGTTAGGTGAGGGACAGCTCCCAGGTCTAGGACCTACCAAAAAAAAAGCGTCTCACAGACTTTTCTGCCTGGGTTGGCTGTGAACTGCAATCCTTGGATCTCAGCCTCCTGAGTAGCCAGGATTACAGGTATAAGTCACAAATTCCCAGCAGGATGTGTCAGGTTCAGACTTTGAGGATACTGTATAACTGCAAAGACTGTATCAGTTTCCACTCCAAGCCTGAGGTCTCTGGCTGTCAGTAATGCTGGATAACTACGACAATGAGGGAGAAGATATGTAACTTTAGCTTAAGAAAGGTGAAAGCCAACTATAAACTCAAAGCCAAGTACTGGCTGGGTGCCAGTAGCTCATGCCTGTAATCCTACCTACTCAGGAAGCTGAGATCTGAGGACTGTGGTTTGAAACTAGCCCAGGCAGGAAAGTCCATGAGACTTATCTCCAATTAACCCCCAGATATCCAGAAGTAGCACTGTAGCTCAAAGTGGTAGAGCATTAGCCTTGGGCAAAAGAGCTCAGGGACAGCTCCCAGGCCGAGTTCAAGCCCTACGACCAACCAAAAAAATAAACTAATTCCTCACTCAATCCCGCATTCATGCATGTACTGGGAAATCTGCCTGCATACCTACTAAGTGCCAGACATCACTGCAGTACTGTGTCTTAATGTTCACCTATTATCTGAAGATAGGTCTCAATTTGACAGCCAGTAGGAGATGCAATGATAGGATCTGTCCCCACATGTCGCTACATTTTCAGCTCAGGTTCCCAGCCCGTGTCCTGGGAGCTACTCTCCAGCCAAAGGTTCCAGGAAGCTGATGGTACTTTCCACCTGAGACTAGTCAGCCAGGTCCCAGGACTAGAATGAATGAAGGGAAAGGGACAAGGACTTACCTTGGTTGGAATCGTCGAACTACATAGCCCAGTCTTTTCAGGTGGCTGAAGACCTCAAGAGAAGAAAACAAAAATTAAAGCTCACATGTCTCTTCTTAAAAACATCCAATAGTAGACTGGGATGTAGCATGGTGGCAAAGCTTTGCCTGTAGCCTTAGCTATTCAGGAGGTTTAGATCTGAAGATCATTGTTCAAAGCCAACCCAGGCAGAAAAGTCCATGCGACTCTTATCTCCAATAAACTATTCAAAAAAAGCCAGAAGTGGTGCTGTGGCTCAAGTGGTAGAGCGCTAAAAGAGGCTCAAGGACAGTGTCCAGGCCCTGAGTTAAAGCCCCAGGACCAGCCAAATATATATATATACACACACACACACATACATATGCAAAGTTCATTCTCTACAGCCTCTCCCTTGCCCTTCAGATTCCAAACCCTGAAGCTACTTGGAGCACACTCCATTATAAACATGGTCTTTTAAGGAAGGTCTCAGGTCTCTGAGTTCCTGTCCTCTTTTGATACAAATGACATTTAACAATTCTTTTTTAATTTTTAATTTTTTAGTGTTGGCTCTGAGGCTTGAACTCAGGGCCTGGGCACTGTCCCTGAGCTTCTTTTGCTCAAGGCTAGTGCTCTACCACTTGAGCCACAGCGCCACTTCTGGCCACAGGTCTACTTTCAGCTTTTTTGCTAACTTATTGGAGAAAAGAATCTCAGGGACTATTACTGCCCAGACTGGCTTCAACCATGATCCTCAGATCTCCGCTTCCTGAATAGCTAGGATTACAGGTATGAGGGACCTGCATCCAGCAACAATTTCTTGACTTAAATACAAATCCCCAAAAGCTGACAGCAGTGGACCTAGAAAAGAACTATGTTCTCAAATATTTTGATACTAAAGATGGCAGAAGGTGGTAGACATTTCCCCCATGTTTCCCCTCTACAGGCAGAAGTGGAAAGGGTTTCATAAATAACTACATGCTCATCGTCGTGTCCTGCATCTACAGCAGGACATTGCCGGACACATCCACTATCTTGCCTGTTCTCTCAGTTAAGCCTTCAACACAGCTGACCATTCATTTCCTCCTTAAAGGAACATCTCTTAAGTTTTTGTGATGACATTCTGTTTTTTCCCCTGTACGGCTTCAGTCAGTTTCTGGTCCTGGCTCCCCCTAACCTCTTCACCTCTGAGTCCCAGGTCTCAGACCCCACATTCTGTGATCTTAAGACCTCAGTCTCCTGGATAGCTAGGATTATAGGCATGAGCTCCCAGCCCCCAGCCTGGTAAACAGGGTCTTGCTATATAGCACAGGATGACCTCAATCAGGAATGCTAGGTACAGCACTACTGTACTTGCTTACACCATACCATGCTTGCTTTTTTTTTTTTTTTTGCCACTCCTTGGGCTTGAACTCTGGCTGGGCACTGTACCTGAGCCTCCTTGTGCTCAAGGCTGGCACTCTACCACTTGAGCCACAGCGCCACCTCTGGCTTTTTCATAGTTTATTGGAGATGAGAGTTTCATGGACTAGCCAGGTGCGGATGGCTCAGGCCTATAATCCTAGCTACTCAGGAGGCCGAGATCTAAGGATCATGGTTCAGAGCCAGCCACTGCAGGAAGTCCCCATGAGACTCTTATCTCCAATTAACCACCAGAAAACCTGAAGTGGCGCTGTGGCTCAAGTGGTAGAGTGCTCACCTTGAGCTGAAGAGCTCAGGGGGCAGCAACCAGGCCCGAGTTCAAGCCCCACAACTGAAAAAAAAAAAAAAAGTCTCACATACTTTCCTGCCCAGACTGGCTTCAAACTGTGATTCTCAGATCTCAGCCTCCTGAGTAGCCTGTAGGCGTGAGTCACTGGCACCCAGCTTTGTTTACTTTTTATTATCCAGTTGCCATCATTAGACAGTAAGCCTTGTCACTGCACATCCCTTGACATCCTGTAGCCACAGCACGTGGCACTGTGACTGGCACCTCACAGGCACCTGTCACTGCTCACTGACTCCACACATGCCAGTCTCTGGGGGAGGCAGATACCTGGTATTGCAAGAAACTCAAGGTGTCCTCGTTCAGCAGTAACTGGTAGGCCTCCTGGATAGACAGTGGCAAGTCTTGATGGAAGAGCTGAATAGAGCCCTGGAAGTGGAGCCCAACAGCTCAGCAGTGCCTTAGCCACATGGGGCGCTTTCCTGGCTGACACCCTCCAAGCATCACAGGATGAATAAGGCAACCACATAAGGGGAGGGGCGGGCACCCTAATCTGGACTGGAACTCACGCTTTCCCACGTGTCTCCTGGCTTTAGAAATCCCATTGTATATCCACAGAGAACTTACACAAAAAAACGTGACCTTCCTGGTCCCTGGTCCCAACCCCTTCTCCACCCTGCAGAGGCCGGGGAGGGGGGTGTACCCCACTCACACACTCCAGCAGGTATAAGGCCTCTTCGGGGTGCAGCCGCTGCCGGCCCTGCTCTGAGAAGCCCATGGTCTGCCAGAACTTACCCTGTGTGGAACCCAGAGTGAGTGTCACAGAGGAGAGCAAAGTGGGGGTCCCGGGCCCCCAAGTCCCGCTGCTCACCGCAGGAGACTTCAACTCCACAAAGCCCTCTTCGGGTCTCCACTCGGCGGCCACCAAGCTGCCCCTGGCGAGGAGTGGGAAGGGGTGGGTCTGGGTGGGTGTGCCGAGGAAGGGGTGCGGGGGTCCCCCCGCCCCGCCCCGCCCCCTCACAGGCGCTCCACCCGCTCCTCCGCCAGCAACTGCCAGAGTTCTTGGCGACACCGGTGCAGCCGCTCGGCCTGGGCCGCCGAGCCGTCGGGGAGGAAGTCCTTGGGGCCATGCGACCGCTGAGGCAGCTTCTGGGACCGCGAGCGGGCGGCGAGGAGCTCCGCGGCACTGGGCGAGGAGAGAAGGGGACCCGGGGTCGGCACCCCGCGGCGCACCGAGGCCACCCCGCCTGGACCCCGGGATCTCCTGGCTCCAACCCGCGCCCACCCCACGCCCCGCACGCCGCCCCCTGGGGCCTCGCCGCACCTCAGCACGCGCCCCGCGGGAATCTCCACCGTCCCGGGCTCCGGTTCGGGCTCCATCTGGTTGCTGTCTGCGCCTGCGCGCGCGCCGCCCAGGCCCCGCCCACTCCCGGAACCGCGCGCGCGCGCGCGCGGCCCCAGCACCGTCCCCGGAGCTCTTCCCACTGGCTTCCCGCCTTCCTGGCTGGCCTGGGTCCTAGCGCCTGCCTACATTCGTGTGCCTCGACTCCCCGGGCTGAGTGTTCGGTTTGCAGGCTTCTGAATGTGCAGGAACTTTCCTAGCCTGTCCCCCCGCCTTCTCCGGGCTTAAACTTGAGCTGGCGTCCTGGAGTGGCGCACGAAGACTCAAACGTGTGACTCTCTTCTCGGCAGCCCTGCGCTGCCCGGTCCTCACCACCCCAGCCAGGAAAGGAGGGAAGAGGGGCTTAGCGAAGGGAGGACGGTGCGTCTCCGGATCTCAGCTCTGCGAAGTGGAAGCCACCTGGATCTGCCAGGAGCGGTCCGGGGAGGCTTGAAGCCGGGTTTGGAGGGCCAGGCCGAGGGTGGGAGGCGCTGTCCGCCCCTCGTTGGTGCTGAAGCGCCACCCCAGGCTCCGACAGCACCTCCTCGAGGCTGGGGTCCCTGCCGCGGAACCCTGGGCCGCTCCCGCACTGTCCACTAGGTGGCAGCATTGTCTCGGTCAGTCGCTTCGGCCCGGGCAACTGGCGGCGGGCGGAGGTCGCTGCCGGAGTCCCGGCAGGGGCGAAGGCCGAGAGGAAGGGGTTCCCAGAGGGGTCCCCCGAGTCTCGGCTGCCCAAACCCTTCACCACGCTTTTCTTCCACTCATTCATGTCCATCGTATCTCGTCCTTCCGTCCACACTCCAAAGCCCCAGTTTTCCGGGATTCCATACCTGGACGCAGCGCGGCAAACACCACGCTCCTTTCTCCACCCCCTCCCCTGCCCCGCCCCCCTTTACCCTCCGCCGCTCGGATTCACCTGTGCGCATGCGCGGATCCAGCTATGCCCGGAGTCCAAACTGGCGCGGGCGGGGGCGGGGCCTGGCGCGGATGGGGGCGGGGCCGCGGGCGCTGACTGGCAGCCGGGCCGCTCGGCCGGGACGGGGCCTGGCGCCCGATCCGGAGGGAGGGGAGGGGGAGGGGCGGGATTTCCTGCGGGAGGCGCAGAGCCGGCCTTGGAAAAGGAGGAGCCGGAGGAGAAAGGGGGGGGGGCTGTGGGAGCCAGCGTCCCGAGTGCCAGGGACACAGCAGGACCAGCCGGACCCCCGGCGGGGCGGCCGGGGAAGGTGAGACTGAGCGGGCCGGGGCTGATCTGGGGATCAGCACCTTTGGAACAGGCGCAAACTAACTTTTTCTCTTTCCTGCGGGATCGGCGGGATCGCCTCCATCTCTCCGTCCCTTCCGCCCTCTTCGCGCCCCCTTCTCATCCTCCAGCCTCGACGCCTCGGGCTCTGGGCCCGCTCGGTGCCCCCCCCCCCGCCTTCTCCCGCCGCTTTGTTCCCGGGGTCGTCCCGGGCTGGGCTCGGCTGGGGGTGGGGGGTGCGCGGCATTCCGAGGGGCGGGGGCGCCCGCCGACCCCAGGCGCTGCCGGGGCGCCCTCCCCCGGGCCGGCGGCCGGCGGGCTGCGCCCTCGGGGCTGGGGGTGCGGGGTGGGAGGGGACGCGAAGAGCTCCCCGCCAGGGCTGCGGGCCTGCACGGCGCTCGTGCCATAAGACTCTTGGCAACACATTCGCCGCCACCGAGGAACTGACGTAAGCCCTGCAGTGAAGGCGAAGGGTCTGGGCTTCGGGTTCAGGCTTGGACCGTTGGCCAGCCGTGCCCCCCTCATGTCTTCTCTGCCCTCTGTCCAGCTGCTTCCTCGACCTCCCCACACGCACACAAGGGGGTGAGGAGGGTCAGCAACAGGTGCTGTAGAAGCGTCTCTGTCCGGCAGGCAGAAATGGGGGGGGGAGGGGAGATAAACTCCCCAGTCCACCACCTTCTGAAGTTCCTAAAGAGCCCCAGGGCTTGGACATCCAGCTATTAAAGCTAAGTCTAGGTAGGGTGGAGGCTGGGGGTGGGTGGGAGGGCAGGCAGCTTGGACAGGGAGTGACCTCCCCCCCCATCAGTCTGCCTGTGCCACCCGCCTATGCCCCACCTCCTGGTTTGCCAGTTGTCTGTGGGTGTTGGAGCCTTGGGCTGTGGAGAATGGGCTGCTGGCCCGTCCTGCCCCAGTGTACTGAGCTCCCAAGGCCCCTCCTGTTCAAGGTTGAGGTGCTGCCCGGTGCCCTAGGGGCACAGTGACTCACCTTCCTGCTCCAGAAACGCCACCCCCCCCACATACTCCTCGCAGGCACAGTGGTTTCCCTCCTCCCTCTTGGGGACCCACTGTGACTCCAAGGCCAGCCAGGGCGGCTGAGGGCTCCTGGAGGTCCTATTGCGCTCACCTCTGTGTCTTGTTTCTGGGTCTCTTGCAGGCTGTTGGCACAGCCACAACGTCTATTCCAGACCCCTCCACACCTGTCCACCACTGTCACCTGAGGCCCAAGGGAATGCTGGCTGCGCTCTGTGCTCCTGAGTCAGGCTGGAAAGATTGGCGGGCTCAGCCCTGGCCTGTCGCAGGGCTGTCAGAAGCTGCGGGCTGATCCCTGTGCCGATTTCCACACAGCCTCCACCCCCTCAGACCCTGGCTTCCCCGCTGGAGGGAATATCATCAGCGCCTGACAAGGAGCCACTGGCTGGGACACCAGACGTGCTCCCTTAGGACCTGGGGCCCTCAAGGGGCTGAAGTATGGTGCACTGACACCACTGTTGGACTTGTCTCCCTGCCTCTCCTTGGATTCCTGTGTTCTGAGCCCAGCCCAGGGGCCACTATGGGTCGGGAGCAGGACCTGATCCTTGCTGTCAAGAATGGGGATGTAACCTGTGTCCAGAAATTGGTGGCCAAGGTCAAAGCTGCAAAGACAAGTGAGTATTTGGTAACATGACCATCTCGGGATGCCTCTGAGCAGGGGTGGGGGGGCCTCTGTGATCTGTCCTTCCTTATGTCTGGACAAGAAGTAGCTCTGTGTAGGCCCTTAGGATGTGTCACCAGGCACGTCACTTAAGCTCCCTGGATCAGTGTCCATGCCTGGGAGTCGGGTGAAGTATATTCATTCAAGTCTTTACTGTGCACTTAGCAAAGGCTAAGTCCCGAGCCAGAGCAGTGAACAAAAGAGACCGAACTTTCAGCTCCTGTGGCCTTTCCTGCTAGTAGGTGGCTTTTCAGATGAGTGCCATGTTAGTTTGGGCTGTGTGTTAGGAAAAGCTGACTAGCTACCATATTCCCTAAACCCCTCTGCACACATCCACCAGAACAGCTCTGTGTTTATTTCTGAGCCTAATGGGGGATGTCTGTGAGATATATTTTTTAAAGAGTCTTTTAAAAAAATCAACATTATCTGAATATTTGCTAAAGCTCCTTTACCTCGACTTACCTGCTACTGATCTTGTGGGAGTGTGTGACCAAAGCTAATTTTTTTTTTATTTTTTGGTACCATTACAAGGGCTTGAAGTTAGGGACTAAGTGCTACGTCCCTTAGCCTTTTTACTCAAGGATGGCACTCTACCACTTGAGCCATAGCCCCGACTTTACGGTGGTTAATAAGAGTCTCACAGACTTTCCTGCCCAGGCTGGCTTCAAAGCCTGATCGTCAGATCTCAGACTTCTGCGTAACAAAGATTACAAATGTGAGCACCAGTGCCCAGCTAAAGCTCGTTTCTGAAGGTTTCTATAGCCTGGAGCTCTAGTCTTGATGGGGCTGTAGGGGCTGGATATGTAGATGGCCACTGCTGAGCCCCAGCTCTTTGGTTTCTCTGTGGTGAGAGACTTCTGGGCTTCAGGGCCAGCTCTCTGGGTCCCTTCAGATCTCAGCCCCGCAGCGGCTTCCTGCCACTAGACTGGACTGGAAAGGAGTTTCCTGGAGGGAAGGGTCTTCTCTGAAGCACTGGGGCTCTTGCCCCAAGGGACACCTGGGCCCTGTCCACAGGAGGAAGCCCTAGGCTACCAGGAGACATCTTATTATCCCTGCCCACACCCTGGCATGTGGGTGCCAGAAGGAAAGACGTTAATGGCGTGCACCCACCTGCATAGCAGGGTGGAAACCTGGGCATGAGAGCTGGTATGGTGGCCCGGTGCCCTGGGGACGTGGATGAGGGTGAGCAGGCTTACAGCTCCCCAGGGAGACCCCCCCTCCCCCTCACCTCTGTTGGTTTTGGCGACCTGCCCAGTGGGGCCTTGGTGCCACTGCTGCTGGCCTCACAGCCCTGGGGCTTCAAAGTGAGGCCCACGAGAGGGTAGTAAGAGGGGCCAGAGGCTCATGGTGGGAGGCTCACAGCCGGGCTCTCAGGCTCGAAGAAGGTGTCTGGTCCTGGTAAGAAATGTCCTTGGGGGAAAAGGTCCCTTCCTTCCCCTAGGCCGAGGTGAGGCAGGTGTGGGTAAAGCGTTGGGTGACAGGCCCAGGTCTCCTTGCAAGGTGCTGGGACTGTGCTTTCCTTCCTCATCCTCTGAGGAGCTGGAGAAACTGGTGACCAAAAGTGAAATCACAAGGTGACCCTCGCAGATCTGACCTTTTAAGAAAGGCTGCCAGGCACCAGTGGCTCACGCCTGTCATCCTAGCTACTCAGGAGGCTGAGATCTGAGGATCACAGTTCAAAGCCAGCCCGGGCAGGAAAGACCATGAACCTCTTATCTCCAATAAAAACCACCAGAAAGGGGCTGTGGCTCAAGTGGTAAAGCACTAGCCTTGAGCTAAATTGCTGAGGGACAGCGCCCAGGCCCAGAGTTCAAGTTCCATGACCACCACCGACAACAACAACAAAGAAATGCTATGATCCCCTAACTTACCTCTGAGCTAGGTGTTTCTATATTCTTTATACTGCTAAGGAAAATGATATTCAGAGAGGGTTAGTGACTTGTTGAAGGTCACACAGATAAACCTGTGCCGAGGTACCCCCCTCCCCCCCCCGCCCCCCATGCTAAGCACTGCTTTCTGTCATAACGGAATGGCCTGGGGGTTGTTCTAAAAAATGGACTCTCTCCAAATTAAAATCAGTAGAAATGGCCCGAGATCACTTTCCAGTTGATTGGAATGCAGCTTTCAAAGGGCTGCAGGGAACTCCTCAGAGAGGCAAAGGAAACTGCTGGAAGGGAAGCATCAGGGCTCCCCCTTTTTCTTCCTATGGGCTGACTAGAACTTTCTGGCTATGCAAAGGGAGCTGTGGGAAAGATGCTCCTTTGGGCTCCTCCATCAGATAAGCCCCCCCTCCACCCACCTCCCGCCCCCACCCCCACATATGATCAATTCCATCCAGATCCAGGTCTTCTTTGGAGAGCAGGTAGCTGGGAAGGGAAGGTGTGGTGGGCCTGGCCTCGCCTCTTCCCCTTGCCCTTCCCCAGCCCCTTTTGCTGAGGTCCTTTTCTGGCCAGAGGAAACACGGTGGGCTGGGGTGGCCAGCTGAGCTCACATCCTCTACTTGAGCCTAAGTCCGGGGAGTGACCCTTCCACTCCCAGAGCGGGGCTGGGAAAGAAGCCCTGCTATAAGCGGAAGTGCCAGGAGCCACTGCCAGCAACCAGGACCCTCCACCCTCCCTCCCTCCCTCCCTCCCTCCCGCCAGGGTCCCCAGCCTAGTCATTTGGGGCCTGTCCCCCACCACCTTTCCGGTCATTGTTCTGTAAAGAACGGAGCCACCCAGCCTGGCCCTCCTCCTGTTCCTGTGTCCCTCCTGTCACATTGTCCTGCCCCTCCCCGGAGGAGCCACATCCCGCCACCCAGCTACCCCATCCCAGACGGCGCAGGCTGGCAGGCCAGTGGGAAGGGTGGACTGGCTGAAGGACACTGTGTCTCTTTCCTGCCGACTTCATTGTCTTCTCTGAAGTTGAAAGAGACACCGGGACAGCCAGAGTCACACAGCCAGTTGAGCCAGGCATTACCTGCCTCTTGCCCCTGTCCTAAGTGGTTGAGTGACAAGGACTTTCCAAAGGGACTAGAGGAGACCTGGGGGGGCTGCGTTGCCTCCCAGCGGCCTCCGCCCCTTGCTCTTCTGTCCCTTCTTGCCTCCATGTTTACCTTTGTGTGGTGGAGTCCTTTCAGTGCAGTGCTACCTGTAGCCCTCCCTTCCCTGCACGTCCCCTGCTCCCTTCTGCAAGGCTGGTCCCTCCCTGCTGGAATGAGGCCCTGCCTTGCCCAGGCCGCTGGGCTATTCAGAGGCCCATTAGGGCCTGGGGGGCAGGCCCAGACCAGCATGCTTGGCACCCTGCCCAGCTTGGGTTGAACTAGACCCCCTCCTTCCCAGTGGGGTGGGTTCCAGCAGAAGGCAGGGGGTGCCTGGAACAGGCCTCCCTCGTTCCCTCCCCAACACTTCAAGGCTTGCTGCCTCTGGAAGCAGTGCCAGTTCTTTTGCCCAGGTCTGGGACGAGCAAGCCCAGCCTGTGGGCACCAAGTTAGAGGGTGCTTCCCGGGCAGGCTGAGACCCACCGAAATCCAAGGTGGGCCTTAGAGGGACGTGCTGGTTCTTACCAGAGGGGAACGTAGCACTTGCTAATGAGGAGTGTTAAATTGTTGACAGCTGCCATCTTCTGCACGCAAAGGACAGAGGCACTGTCCTCACAAGCCCCACGATCCGCCTACTTCACAGAGCCCACCGCTGCCTGCATTCACAGGGCCAGCACAGGCGGAGCCCAAGGCTAGTGCGAGCCGGTCTGATAACGTACTGCCCACGAGGCTCCAGGATGCCTCGGGACTGGGGTTTGTGGTCCACGAGCTCAGCCCTGGCATCTCTCCTACCTTTGATTATCCAGTGCCTTGCTACCTTCTCTCCCTGCCTGTGCCCCTTGGCCTACGAGGACAATATGACTCCGCTTCCTAGCCCATTCAGGCAGGAATGCTAACCATGCACCCCGTGGGCCTGTCTGATGAAGGCACATCACGCCAGTGCCCCCTCCCGCCCCCTTTGGCTCTATAAACACGCTAGGCTGGGGCCCTGGAGAAGCCAGGTCATTGCTGCTAAGGCTCCTTGCGCTACCCACCCTGGAGCCACAGGCACCTGGAAAGGACCATGGGGCAGGGTCTTTTTTGTATGCTGAGAGGTCAGCTGGGTTCTGGGAGGTGAGGTGGAGGGTGTACCAAGTAGGGGTGCAGGTGAGACCGGGTGGTCATTTGTGCCCTGATCCCTACCTCCCCGCAATCCCCAGAGCTCCTTGGCTCCACGAAGAGGCTCAATGTCAACTACCAGGATGCCGATGGGTGAGTACCTGCTGCTGGGGGCTGAGAGGCCAGGGGAGGGGCTGCAGGGATGGGTCCTGGGGCTCAGATTCCCTTCCTCCCTCTCTCTCAGTCTTGGGCCCCTGCAGTCTATTTGTGGAGAGCTCTGGGTCCTGCTGGAGGGAAAGAGGGCTTGCACCCACCTGCCCGTGGAGTTCACCCCAATTGAGGGGAAGGGCCCCCTTGGATCGGATTCCTCCTGGGCCCCTTTTCTCCCTGGAGGGTAGGAGCCTGCAGGCGCCTGCTCCCACGGCCCCCTCCCCTCGCTGGCTGGGGGGGGGATGCCAGACAAACAGGCCTCTCAGCCCAGACACTGAGCCCTTTCATGCAGTGACCAGGCTGCTGTGCGCTCCCACGGCAGGGCTGGCAGGCGTGGGGGGCAAGGAACCCATCCCTGCCAGCCCCCAGAATGAGTTTGGGTATGGAAGACTAAGACTTGGGGAGTGGGAGATTGCTCACTGACACCCTCTACTTTGTCGATCTCCCCCCACCCAACCCATCCCAGATTCTCTGCTCTCCATCATGCTGCCTTGGGGGGCAGTTTGGAGCTCATAGCCTTGCTTCTGGAGGCTCAGGCCACCGTAGACATCAAGGACAGCAATGGTGAGCCCCCCATGTGACCCCAACCCACACCTGTGACTGGAGCTTGCTCCAATGAGGTACACAAGCAGTGCTAGATGCTCCTGTGGCTTGCAGATGGCTTTTCCTCTCGAATCATCCTGGCCATCTAGGTAGCAGGTGGTCCTGCTTTCCTGACATGTACCCATAATGGGTGCAGCAAGACCCTGGCTCTGCCCCCATAGAGCTGGACCTCTTTCTGATTAAAGCTGGGTAATGCTAGCATCACTTTGGGGCTGTCTCCGCGCAATCAGAATGGCTCCATACACTGCTTAGGCCCCGCCCCTCCCCAACACTGTCCCAGGACCTCCCTTGGATCCCATTCTCCTGTCAGGAATGCGTCCACTGCACTACGCGGCCTGGCAGGGCCGGCTAGAGCCTGTGAGGCTGCTGCTCCGGGCCTCTGCGGCTGTCAACGCGGCCTCGCTGGATGGTCAGATCCCTCTGCACCTAGCTGCACAGTACGGACACTATGAGGTGGTATGTGAACCCGCCTGTGGGGGGGCCCTAGGGCAGGGAAACGGGATAGGGGTTCTGGAAGCCAGCAGATCTCCTCACTTGGCTCTTCCCCACTCCCACCCCTAGTCAGAGATGCTCCTCCAACATCAGTCCAACCCATGCCTGGTCAACAAAGCTAAGAAGACACCCCTGGATCTGGCCTGTGAATTTGGTCGGCTCAAGGTGAGGTCTGTGGTCCTCGGGATGCTGGGTGTCATTTGTGGGGTCTCGGTAGGAGGCGCTAATTGGGTGCTATGTGTTGCCTGCAGGTGGCCCAGCTTCTGCTCAACAGCCACTTATGTGTGGCGCTGCTGGAAGGTGAGGCCAAGGATCCGTGTGACCCCAATTACACCACACCCCTGCACTTGGCTGCCAAGAACGGCCATCGAGAAGTCATCAGGTATCCTGAGGGAGCCCCCTTCCTCACCCCCCTCCTGTGGGACAGTCGGGGCCCTCTCAATGCCTCTGTTGCTCTCAGTCTCCCCATTGGACTCCTCCCCTGCCCCATCACCCTGACTCCCCGTCCATCACAGACAGCTCCTGAGAGCTGGAATTGAGATCAACCGCCAGACCAAGACCGGCACGGCGCTCCACGAAGCTGCACTGTACGGCAAGACCGAGGTGGTGCGGCTTCTCCTGGAGGTAGGTGTGGATACCTGGTCACTCCATAGGTGTCCCTCAAGCCTCTGCCCCTGTGCCAAGACCGGTTGGGAAGGCCCTAGTGTTTTGTATGGGCAATGGCAGTGCTAAGGCCATGTGGCTGGGAAACCACCCCCTCTGATTCAGATCCCAAGTATGCCTTCTTACTACACTGTCCTTGACTCGGTCTCTGAAATTCCATGCCCGAGTGAAAAGATCTGGGTGTGATAAGAGCACCCAGGTCTTGGATGGTTATGAGCAGCAGCAGGGGGAGAAGAGACCACAGGCCAAGTGCTTAGTGCACACTCATGACCCCGCCCCCAGGGAGGCGTGGACGTAAACATCCGCAACACCTACAACCAGACGGCACTGGACATCGTCAACCAGTTCACCACCTCCCAGGCCAGCAGGGAGATCAAGCAGCTGCTGAGGGGTGAGTGTCTGAAGAAGCCAGCCAGAGGGACAGGAGCCGGTCGGCAAGAACTGGGGTGTGGAGGGAGCTGTGTCCCTGAGGGGATACCCTCAGGACCTTGACCATATTTGATGTCTGCTTCTCCCCCGCCCCCCCCCCGGCCCCTTCTCTTAGAGGCCTCAGGGATCCTGAAGGTCCGAGCACTCAAGGATTTCTGGAACCTCCATGATCCCACTGCTCTCAATGTCCGAGCTGGAGATGTCATCACGGTGAGGCTCCGATTGGCACTGCTGTGAGAATGCAAACCATCGCTATGACTTTTTTGGGAATCTACTATGTTGCCAGACTGTGCTAAGTCTTTCTGTGCTGAATTCTTCCCAAGTCTAGGCAATGTAAATGTCATAGTCTTTGTAGCGATGACAGAGTTTGGAGGCTTATAAATGTTAGGATCAGCCAGGCGCCGGTGGCTCACACCTGTAATCCTAACTACTCAGGAGGCTGAGATCTGAGGATCTCGGTTCAAAGCCAGCCTGAGCAGGGAAGTCCGTGACTCTTCAATTAACCACCAGAATAAACGGAAGCGGCACTGTGGCTCAAGAGGAAGAGCTCAGGGATAGCACCCAGGCCCAAAGTTCAAGGCCCCCTCCCCCCCAAAATATAAGAAAGTTAGGCTCGCTTGACCAAAGTCACACACCTGTAAGCAATGGGGCTGTAAACGGAACGCAGGCTGTATGTGGGGGGTCCTGTCTGTCTACCCTTGTGACACAGGGGATTAGGCTGGGCGCAGGCTGGCTGCAGGGGCTGAACTCTGGCTGATTGGGGCATCTGAGCCCAGCTGCCTTAGGAACGATCTGGATCAGGGGGGCTGGATAGAGAACCCCCACTTGCTTGGTGTAGGGAGTGAGTACGGGTCTGCACAATCTATCAATGACAGGTGCTTGAGCAGCACGCAGATGGCCGCTGGAAGGGCCACATCCATGAGAGCCAAAGAGGCACAGACCGTGTGGGCTACTTCCCTCCTGGCATTGTCGAGGTGGTCAGCAAGCGAGTGGGCATCCCTGTGCCCCGTGTCCCCTCCGCACCCACTACCCTGCGCCCAGGCTTCTCCCGAACACCGCAGCCTCCTGCTGATGACGCCCTGCATCCTCTGGCCTATGGCCAGCTCCCTCGGGTGGGCCTCAGCCCGGACAGTCCAGGTACGTCCTCCCAGAGTGTGGCAGTGGATACTGGCGAGTTGCCAGTCAGCTGTTGGCAACACCACTGAAGCGCTAACTACTGTGCGTCTGTTCCTTGCAGCAGGTGACAGGAATAGCGTAGGCAGCGAGGGCAGCGTGGGCAGCATCCGCAGTGCTGGCAGTGGTCAGAGTTCCGAGGGCACCAACGGCCACAGCACGGGCCTCCTTATCGAGAACGCTCAGGTAGGAGGGAGGGCTGCTGGGACCAGGGCAGGGCGCACCCCTGCTGCCAATTCTGCACCTCCTAAATGAGATCCTTCCCTGTCTCCAGCCTCTGCCCTCTGCCGGTGAGGACCAGGTGCTGCCGGGACTGCATGCCCCGCCCCTGGCAGGTGGGGAGAATGAACAGGAGAGGGCTGGCTGACAGAGCTGGCGGTGGGGAGGCTGGGGGCATGGCACCCCTCCCTTCCTCGTGCCACCTCTGAGGCCATTTCTCTCCTTCCTTGAAGACACCCTGAGCCACCACCCTCTGATTAGCCACCGCTCAGGTGAGATCTTCACCCAGGATGTGAGGCCAGAGCAGCTGCTAGAGGGGAAGGTGAGATCTCCGCCGGGGTGGGACCTTGTGGGGAATGGAAGGCCTCAGTGCATTCACTTATAGAGGCCAGGCTACTGGGGAAGGCTGGGCCGGTGAGTTGGGCCTCCCCTTAGCCATTCAGCTCTTCCTGGCTTTCCCTTTCCCGGAACCACAGGATGCACAGGCTATTCATAACTGGCTGAGTGAGTTCCAGCTGGAGGGCTACACTGCCCACTTTCTGCAGGCTGGCTATGACGTGCCAACCATTAGCCGCATGACCCCTGAGGTAGGTGATGCAGCTGGACCAGGGAGGGCCCAGGGGGCAGCGGCGGGGCCTGACGCCCTTGCCTTGCTCCGGCTCCGCAGGATCTGACAGCCATCGGAGTGACCAAGCCGGGCCACCGGAAGAAGATCGCCGCAGAGATCGCCCAGCTCAGTATTTCCGAGTGGCTGCCCAACTACATCCCGGTGAGCAGGGGGCCAGGGTGTGCACTCTGGGCTCCCACCCAGGGCTGTGGCTGGGTGGCGCCCCTCCTCTGGCTGAAGAGGAGCCAGGCCTGACCACAGTGCCCCTCCAGACGGATCTGCTGGAGTGGCTGAGTGCACTGGGGCTGCCGCAGTACCACAAGCAGCTGGTGAGCAGTGGCTATGACTCCATGGGGCTAGTGGCCGATCTCACCTGGGAAGAGCTGCAGGAAATCGGCGTCAACAAGTTGGGTGAGGACTGCTCTGAGCCCCGGCCACGGGCCCCTCCGCGGTGACCCTTCCCAAGACTCAGCTAACCTTGTTGCTTCTGCCCACCTCCTCAGGGCACCAGAAGAAACTCATGCTGGGTGTGAGGCGGCTGGCGGAGCTCCGGCGGGGCCTGCTGCAGGGAGAGGCCCTGGGCGAAGGCGGGCGCCGGCTGGCCCGAGGATCAGAGCTGATGACCATCGACGGGCTAGAGAATGGGGAAGGCCCAGCCATGGCCGGCCCACGCCTTCTCACCTTCCAGGGCAGTGAGCTGAGCCCGGAGCTACAGGCAGCCATGGCAGGGGGCGGCCCTGAGCCGCTCCCCCTGCCCCCGGCTCGATCCCCCAGTCAGGAGAGCATTGGAGCACGCTCCCGGGGCTCTGGTCACTCACAGGAACAGTCTGCGCCCCAGCCGAGTGCTGGTGGAGACCCCGGCACCCTACAAGAAAGGAACCTTCCAGAGGGCACAGAGAGGCCCTCTAAGCTCTGCTTCCCACCTCCTGGCCAAGGACCTGCCCCGTATGTTTTTATGTACCCCCAGGTCTCACCCTCCAGCCCAGCCCCAGGGCCACCGCCTGGTGCACCCCGGGCCTTCTCCTACCTGGCGGGGCCCCTGGCCACCCCTCCAGACCCCCCTCGCCCCAAGCGCCGGTCCCACAGCCTGAGCCGCCCTGGCCCTGCGGAGGGGGAAGCCGAGGGGGAGGCCGAGGAGCCAGTGGGCAGTGCCTTGGGCAGTTACGCCACCCTCACCCGAAGGCCAGGACGCAGCACCCTTGCCCGGACTAGTCCTAGCCCAGCCCCGGCTCGGGGGACCCCACGCAGCCAGTCCTTTGCCCTCCGAGCCCGTCGCAAAGGCCCCCCGCCGCCACCCCCGAAACGCCTCAGCTCAGTTTCTGGCTCCACGGAACCCCCACCACTAGATGGGAGCCCTGGGCCCAAGGACGGCGCCACAGGGCCCCGACGGAGAACACTGAGTGAGCCGAGCGGCCCCTCGGAGCCCCCGAGTCTGCCCAGCCCCGCCGGACCCGTGTCTGACACGGAAGAGGAGCCCAGCCCCGAGGGGACGCCTCCGTCTCGGGGGAGCTCGGGAGAAGGGCTGCCGTTCGCAGAGGAGGGAAACCTGACCATCAAGCAGCGGCCAAAGCCAGCTGGCCCCCCACCCCGAGAGACGCCTGTGCCCCCCGGCCTCCACTTCAACCTTACAGAGTCAGACACTGTCAAGCGGAGGCCCAAGTGCAGGGAGAGAGAGCCGCTGCAGACGGCCCTGTTGGCTTTTGGGGTGGCAGGTGCTACCCCTAGCCCCTCTGCCCCCCCACCTTCCCAGGCCCCCAGCGAGTCCTCCCTCTCCGAGTCCTCCAGTCCTCCCCAGCCAGAGCCCAGCAGCCTCGCCACTCAAGGAGCTCCGGTGCCTCCTCTCAGCCCTGGGACCCAGACCCCCACGGCCCCAGTGGCCTCCAGTGCTGGCCCCAGTCTGGAAAGCTCGGCCAACCACCGGCCACCTGCAGAGCCGGAGCACACAGCTGCCCCCACCGCCCTGCTCAAGGTGCCCGGAGCAGGTAGGATGCCAGGTGTTGTTGGCAGCGGCGGGCGGGGGGTGGGGGTGAAGGGTGGGGAGGGGACAGGGGCAGGGTTGTGTCCCGCCAAGTCACAAGCCAGCCTTTTGGTCTCTACAGGAACAGCTCCCAAGGCTGTGTCGGTGGCCTGCACCCAGCTGGCATTTTCTGGCCCCAAGCTGGCTCCCCGGCCTGGCCCCCGCCCAGTGCCCCCCCCAAGGCCTGAGAGCACAGGAGGGGCTGTGGGTCCAGGCCGGGCCCAGCAGAGACTGGAACAGACCAGTTCATCCCTGGCAGCTGCACTAAGGGCAGCCGAGAAGAGCATTGGTGCTGAGGAGCGAGAAGGGTAAGCTGGGTGTAGGAACGGACACTCTGGTGGGTTCCCGGGAAGGCTGGCAGGGACACGGCTGGCAGGGCCTCAGGCCTGGGGAAGCCCCTGGCAGGATGATAGGACCCTAGATTTTGGAGTTGCCAGATCTGACCTGCAGGGATACCTGGTAAACGTCACCAGAGGCGCACGGTTATGAACATTACAAGGTGACAGGCACGAAGGGTTTTGGGCAGCTCCTTCCCCCGGGGCAGTAGGCTGGTCCAAGTAGCCACGTGTCCATCTGAACCTTCCCCTTGTCACAGCCCCCCTGGGACCTCTACCAAGCACATTCTGGATGACATCAGCACCATGTTCGACGCCCTGGCGGACCAGCTGGATGCCATGCTGGACTGAACGAGACTGGCCTGTGTCCCCCAGCAGTGTTCACTGTGGCTTCCAGTGTCCACTGCCTTTGGCCCAGCATGGAAGAAGTCCCCAGCACCCTGGGACCACACCCCTCCCTGCAGCTCAAGCAGGAGCTGACTCCAGAGATGGGGCCAAGAGGGCCTGGCAGCACGGTCCAGCTGAGGGGCTTCCGCTGCCATGGTTACACAGCCCCGCCCATGTGTCATCCAACTGGACAGCGCTGGCCCCTAGACAGGGACCCTGGAAAGAGCTTTCTCCACACTTTCTTTCCCCTCTCCCACCCCATGTTTCAAGCCCTAGCCAGGCCACCTGCCTGGCTGCTGTGGCACTCTTGAGAGGCCCAGGGAATGCAGGGGTACACCTCCCTGCAGGTGCACGTAGGAGACGTGATGTAAGGACATAGTGGGGACACACCCATGTGGCGGTGGCCATGTCCTGCCGGCTCTTTTCCTGCTCCCACCACCCACCCTGGATGGCGGTGGGCCTAACAGATCCTCCATGTCCAAACCTTCTCAACTGTACATACTATTTTTTAAGCAGAGAGAAATGCATATATTTTAAATGGGATTTATTCTATCTATTAACTGCCTGGACGATGCAGTAGGGGAAGGCCTTCAGACCCCGGCAGACGCAGCCCTGCCCACCTCAGGGCTGGAGGCTTGATGGGGTTTGCCCAGGCCTGGGCTCTGTAACCATTAACCTCTTCCGCCAACTAACGCCAATGAAAGTGTCATTCCACATAGCTGAGCTTGTGTTTCCATCTGTTGCACAGACCTCTGGGTCTCGGGGGTCTCCTCTGGGTTGTACCCTGAGGGATTCACAGCTATAGAAGGAGGGAGGTGTGGGACTACCCCTCCGCCCCCTCCGCCCCCCCCCCCAGCATCCTCTCTGTGCTCACCGCCTGGGAGGAGGGGAGCCTTATTGGCCTCATGTACCAGCCACGGGTTTTTCTTAAGCAAGTCACACGTTTTAATATAAACCAGTCTACATTCATTCCTAAAAGGCTCATTTCCAGTAAAAAATAGACACCAATAAAAACTTCTCCTGGGAGAACAGGAAACCTGGGCTGTGTCCCCCCAAGACTGACTCTCTGACTTGCTGCCAGTGGAGCACAGGCACGGGAGGGGCTCGAGGGTGAGGTGAGGGCCCACGTGTGAGAGCCCCCCACAGAGCGGGGAGGTTTCTTGGGACCCCCCCCCGGGCCTTGCCCTGGGAAGACAGGATGCGGACAGCGGGGAGGACGAGGCAGCTCCCATCTCCGAAGATAGAGGCCCCTGCCCCTCGCTTTGAGTTTGTGCCAAAGATAACAGAGCAGAGGGCCTGGGTACGGGGACCCTGAAGGTGAGCAGCCCACGGGGAGGCGGCAAGGATCCCTCTACCATGCCCCTGAGGTCATACATTCAAGAGTGCAAGGCCAGGGAGGAGCCAGGGAGGTCCTGTCCAGCTGAGACGGCAGCGCCTTGGCTTCTCGTGATCAGCCAGGGTCAGGAAGACAGGAAGGACTCCACCAAGCAAAGCTGGGCCTTCCACACCAGGGTACACAAGAGCAAACCTTGAAAGCGTTCATGATACCAATGCCTCAGACTCAGGGTTGGATCAAGGGCAGCTGTGGCCATCACAGCCAGTGGCTCAGAAGGGAGAGTTCATGCCCAGCTTAGTTTCAAACTGCAGCTTCTGTCGCTTCTGATAGCGGACTCGGACCCTGGTGGGGCAGGAGATCACTGCAGGTTGGTATAGACTCTTGGGCCAGGAGACGAGTAGGATGCCCACCATGGGTGGTAGATTTAGGTAACACACCCCACCCTGCTCACCGAATCTCATGTAGCTTCACGATCTCATTGGTCACTACCACGAGAACCAGGGACAGGCAACCCAGGAGCCACGTCAGCAGGGGCACATCTTCCAGGCCAAAGTGGACATGGCTATCCCTGTGTGTCCACAGCTGCAGGTCCACAATCGTCTGAACCACCTGACCAAGCAGCCTGCCAAAGAAGGGGGCAGCCGCATGTGAACCCCAAGTCACCTTGCTTCATCCTCTTTTATTTTTTTTTCTGGTCAGTCATGGGCCTGAACTCTGGGCCTGGGTGCTGTCCCTCAGCTCTTCAGCTCAAGGCGAGCGCTCTACCACTTGAGCCACAGCACCACTTCCGGTTTTCTGAGTGGTTAATTGGAGGTAAGATTCTCACGGGACTTTCTTGCCCAGGCTGGCTTTGAACCGTGATCCTCAGCTCTCAGCCTCCTGAGTGCCATGGATGAGAGGCGTGAGCCACCAGCGCCTGGCTCCATCCTCTACTTTCTCAGCATGACATTAAGCTGCAGGAGGGCAGTCAGCCCTCTAGCTCTGGCTCACCCACAAGCCTGGCCCTGCCCTGTGACCCTCTCCACCAACATGACTCACACCACAGGCACGGTCACAGCCCACCAGAGGTTCGTCAGGGGACTCTTGCTCCACAAGGGTTTGGTGCGATGCACATGGGTGATAGAGATGAAGACTGGAAAAAAACGGGAGCCCATGGGGTATCAGGCTTCCCCAGGTCCAGGGCCTTGTTCCCCACAGGCTGTCAGCAGCCTCTCCCAGGCAGAGTCCTTACCCGTGTGCAGGACGATCAGGGCGGCAGTGAGCTTCTGGGCCAACAGCAGCCCATTGGCGAAGTCCTCGAACCAGGCTGGAGCCCTGCCATCATTGCTGCCAAACAAAGCAACACGGCTCAGCCTCCCGAGAGGCCGTGGGGAGGTGGGCTGGGGTGGGGAGGTGGATAGTCCCCGAGATGCACCTGCGCAGCATGATGGAGGAGCAGTTGGTAAGGTTCCGGGCTTGGGCGCTGTCACAGAAGCTCTGCAGTGTAAAGCCAAAGCAGATGAGGCACGAGGTGATGGTGAGGCTGAACTTGAGCAAGAAGCAGAGCAGGAAGTAGTGCTGCGTCTGTGGGGGAAGGGAGGCTGGCTGCTCACTCCGTGGCAGCCTTGGACAGGCTCTTAGGGAGTCAGTGGCCAGGCCTGAGAGGAAAGACAAACAGCAGGGGCCACACTCCCAGAGAGGACTTTGTCAGCTCTTATTATTACCTCCCCAGGCCAAGTGCCAGTCCTCCCAGTCTCCCGATCTCCGGATCTCCGCAGACCCTTCCAGGTTAGGCCCCCTCCCAGCCCCGCCCCTTGGTCCTCTGTCCATCTCCATGAGGCCCTGGCTTGCCAGGTCTGCCTCTCTTACCTTCTTAGGAATGAACTGAAGGTTTTTTCCTGTTGCCATAGACATGATGGAGCTGTGGGGTGGTTTCCCCAGCAGAGAGATGCTGAAAAGCGAGAGTGGGTGAAGGAATGGCAACAGTTTCCACTGCCTTCAGGGAGATGAAGGCTCCTGCACCAGAGGAGATGAGCCCTGAGCGGCCCTTCCAGAACTCGGGGCTCCTCCCACCTGCCCAGGCACAGAAGGGTGCATGGCTCTCACCTGAGCAGAGGGTAGCAAAAGCAGGACAACCACAGGATGTCTGTGGTACTCAGCAGTGGTGGCAGTTGGACCACGCAAGAAAGGAACTAGAGCAGGAAAGAACCCAGGACCCACAATTAGATTTTGGCAAATGAATACAACCCACCGACTCCAGAGCTATGTTGTCCCTTTATCTAGACAGATGCTCAACTCCTGGCTGAGAGGCACTGGGACCCGAGGGAACACTAATCTGCGTTGGAGTCACCTCTGAAAGCTCAGAGGAAGTTACAGAGACCTTGAGGGGCCCCTGTGCTGTGCTACACCCCCGATCTCCCTCCTCAGATTCCTGTTACTTGTATGAAAGAGCAAGTAGAGAGAGGTAATACCTGCGCTTATCCCCGGCTCACCTGGATGACCACAAGGGTCAGCTGGCACTGCAGCAGGAAGAGGAAGCACTTACGGATGCCATTGGTGGCATGCCGAGCCTAGGGACCGAGAGGGACAGATTATGGCCCAGGCCTGCCTGATCTCTCAGGCCCTACAACTGACAAGCTTCAGCCAAGGGCCACATGCCATGCCTGGGGCGCTCCTGTGAGGAGGGAGCAGAGATAAATTCAACTTCGCCGGGCGCCGGTGGCTCCCGCCTGTCATCCTAGCTACTCAGCAGGCTGAGATCTGAGGATCACGGTTCAAAACCAGCCGGGGCAGGAAAGTCTGTGAGATTCTTATCCCCAATGAACCACCAGAAAACCAGAAGTGGTGCTCTGGCTCAAGTGGGAGAGTGCTTGCCTTGTGCTGAAGAGCTGAGGGACAGTGCCCAGGCCCAGAGTTCAAGCCCCACGACCAAACAAACAAACAAAAAAATGCAACTTCCTGGAGGAGCTTCACTTGCTCCTCCCACGTGCAGGAAGCATGCGGTCCAGGGGTTCCAGAAGGATCCTGGGTTATAACTGCCTCCCCCCCTCCCCTCCTGTAGGGTGGGCCCTGTCTCCTACCCCACTCCACCCAGCTGAGGCCCACCTGCTCGATGAGCCGGATGATGCTGATGGTCTCCTCCTGGCGGAAGGTCAGGGAGCAGGGCAGGCTGTTGAGCTGCCCTGACAGCTGCAGGGGGGAGAGGCCATCCGAGGCCTGGGCCATGCTGGTGCTGGTGGCATAGCCAAAGGTCTCCCAGGAGCAGCGAGATGGGTACAGGGGATCCAAAGCAATGCTGGGCGGGGAAGGAAAAGCTCAGCCATGAGCTGTGCTCTGTGAAGACTTGTGTCTCCCACAAGACGACATCCACCCCTTGCCTCCCACCAAGCTCTGGTGCCTGGAACCCAGTCAGGACCAGATCGACCAGGAAACGTGCCCCCCAGCTCCACACAGGCCTGTCTGGGTCCTGACCTGACGTCGCTCTGAAGGAAGAGGCAGCCGTTCCTCAGGTTGGCAGAGCTGCCCAGGCAGCAGGTCACCTCTCCGTATTCCTGCATGATCTTTATCATCTCACACATGGCTGGAGGTGGGCAGGAGGCACAAGGGTCCGGCAGGCAGAGCGCCATGTGCAGGTAGAGAGCCACAGGCCAGGAGGGAGGGGGGCGGGAGGGCAGAAGGCAATGGGAAGAGGGTCTCTCTTTAAAACAATCCCACCCCATCAATATGAGCATGTGAAAATTG